TGGCTACCCCCCTGGAGCAGACACGGGGGCTTGGGGCCGGGGGAGCGGGGTCACCGGTACCTTCATAGATCTCCTGCTCATTTGCCACCCGCTGGTACGTCTCCTCCCAGACCTGCAAGGGAGAGAGGGAGCTGGGCAGTGTGCCATGGCACAGCACGGAGGGACCCGGCTGTGCTGCGACACGCCGGCCGTACCTCCTCAAAGACGCTGCGCATCATCTCCACGGCAGAGTAGTGAGCCGCGATCTGCACGTCCATCTGCAGGGACTTCTGCAGGATCTCGCTCATGATCTCTGTCTTGATGAGCGAGTGGTGCTTGGTGAGGTCGCGGTGCAGCTCCTGCACCTGGTCCTTCAGCCCCTGGATCTCCGTCTGCAGCATCTGCAGGGGCCGGGGGGCAGCTGGCACATGAGCAGCATCTTCCCATCCTGGCCCACCCTGTCCCAGCCCGACCCGCGCTCCCTACCCGGTAGGTGTTCTCGTAGTTGCGGCAGTGCTCAGCGAAGGGGGTCTCGCGCCCCTCGGCCAGCAGGACCTTGGTGCTGATGTACCGGTGCATCGTCGGCTTCCGCACCATGGGGCCGGTGGACATTTTATCGCTGGCAGGGGGGCAGCCGGGCACGATGAGGGTCTTGGAGCATTGGCCGCCGGGGAGCCTGTGTGGAGAGGGCGACAGCAGCGCGCTGCAGGCAAGCAGCGGTGGGGGCGAGGTGCCAGGGGCCACGCTGCCAGCTCAGCCCCCCCACCCCTCGCCCCCGGGGTGCCCGGGGATGTGCCAGCCCTGCACGTCCCTTCCCTTGCACACGGGGTCAGTCGGAGGCGCCTTATGCTGCCCCAAAAATCAGGTTTCTGTGGGCTGCTCTGCCAATGCCCACTGCTTCGGGACCAGCTGTGGCAAGAAGGCAAAAGCTGATCTTGGCACACTCCGGTTTCTAAAGGGAAGGATGCAGCTGGCTCCATCACTGCCGGCATCTCCTGGCCCCTTGGTGGGCACCACTGCCCCTGCCTCTCCCCCCATCCCGCAGCCTCCCTGCACTGCCCACCACCCCGGCTCTGCTGTCCCGCCGCCGTCGGTCCTACCGTGCAGTTCTGTGCTTCCCCTGCCCGTGCCGGGGCCGGCAGCCACCCCCAGGAGCTCAGCCACCCTGCGGTGCCGAGCCCGGCTGGGGGTAAGGAGTGGTGCCCATGGGCCGGCAGTGCCTGTTTGTCCTCTCCGGCCGGGAGCGCCTGGCAGGGCCAAGCGCCGTTGTGACATCAACGGGCCTAAATATATCCCGGGCGAGGAAGTGCCGGGCAATTCCCTGAAATTCTGATAAAAATAGTGGCGGGCAAAGAGGCTGCGGGCGTGCGGGCGAGCAGGAGCTGGCCCCAGCGCAGCACCCACAGCAGCGGGGGCAGAACTCTCTGGGGACTGTGGCGGGGGGGCAGGCTGGGGGG